AACACACACACACACAGGCACGCACGCACCAATTACTAACAATTAAAAAATAAAATACACATATAAATGTGTGTGTGTATTTTAGTGTGTGTGTGTGTGTGTGTGTGTGTGTGTGTGTGTGTGTGGTGTGTATTTTACACACTTTTTATACATGCAATTAAATCATGAATGAACGTGTAACAAGAACAAGATAAATATATGTGTTTGTTTGTCTCTCTGTGTGTGTGTGTGTGTGTGTGTGTGTGTGCGTGCGTGCGTGTATACATTTGATATATTTTTTCCATGTCGTAGAAACATATATATGATTTTTGCTATATTAGGTTATACGTGAAATTTAAATAATTAAACTGGCTTAGCTATAATTTATTTATATTTATTTATTATTATTATTACTCTTATTATTATTAGTGTTGTTGTTGTTATTGTTTTTTAATTGTCTGAAGCTTGTTTGGAAAGACAACGGGATGCACTTGATGCGTTTTGAATTATTATTATTATTTTATTTACTGTTATAATTGTTATTATTATTATTAACGTTGTTATTAATTTCATTATATATATAAAATGTTATAACTGTTATTTTCAACTCATCCTTTATTAATAATGCTATATATATATATATATAGTTTTGTATGTAGATTTTATAACCATTATTAACAATAAAAATCGGTGGTTTTAATGAAATTTCAAAATTTGTCGAACTCTTTTTTAAATTCTTTTATCTGTCCATCTGCATTATATATATATATATATATATATATATATATATATATATATATATATATATTATATATAGTTTTGTAATATAGAATTCTCTTTATACATATGCTATTACGTGCTGTTATTATTATTATCGCATGTTATATAATATCTTGTTAATATTTTGTTGTTCTTGCAAATGTGTGTGTGTTTGTGTGTGTCTGTACGTGTGTGTGTGTGTGTGTGTGTGTGTGTGTGTGTGTGTGTGTGTGTGTGTGTGTGTGTGTGTGTATGTGTGTGTGTGCCATTATGCTCATTTCGTTGCACTATTATAGACTTTTCATTTCTCTCTCTCTCTCTCTCTCTCTCTTTTCTCTCTTTCTCTCATTGTTTTTCTCTTTTCTCTGTTCGATTATGACGTTTTTAATTATTATTTTCACTCAATGTAAATGATTAGAAATTATTTGATAATACAATTGTAAATTATTTGCTGTCGCTGCGGCTCTTTCGATCCACATAAAGTTACTGAATGATGAGCTGTGGTTACTGAGATGGTAGGTAGCAGGCATTTTGTATGATGATGCTCGTATTGTAAGTTTTCTTCCGTATCCATCGGAGACCCGGATGAATCATGTATGGTCGTAAGTTTTTTCATCGATTTTCAAAGTATTTTTTGATATTCTGTTGAAGAACCATTTAAATAGAATGAAATTTGAATTAAAAAAATGTTGAACGATTGTCTGTCTGAAATTTGTTAACAGAATATATTATAAAGGGTTTAATTATCTATGCTTCAGCCAAAAAATGACAAACTTTTGGCCCAGGAGTTGAGCTATCAAAGCTGAAGATTTTCTGTATAAGGCCACATAACTAAAATAAAAGACATGAATATAAGACAATGAATATTTGATGTCAAGCTTTTAATGAAGCTTTCAATGAAATTTTTAATAGGGAAAAACAAGATGGATTGGGTAGTTTCAGTCTAAAATTCCATATCAAGCCAGACTACATGTTTATCCGAGTTCTTCTTAGTTTTAATGTAAATGCACTTTTCATCTCGATCACCTGGTTGACAATGTAAACAAGCATCTCGACTCACGAAGGCGTTGAAGACTTTTTTCTTTAAAGTTTTATTTTAAAACAATTTCCCGACGAAAAAATATTCATTAATGTTTTATCCGGTTTTTAATTTATATTCAAATTTATTTACATTTAAAAATTTTATATAAAACAATTCTGCTGATTTTAGCAAAAATAATTTAATTAAATTTTTTAAAATAAAATGAAATAGTGAAATACTACGAAAAATATTTCACAATATAATAAAATATAAATAAATTTAAGAAAAATTACCTGATATATGTTACAAAAATATTAGTTAATTAATAGTTAGAGATAATATATAAAAGTTTTGTAAATAATATGGATTTGCTACAGGCAACACATTTTTTAACACTAATAACAAGAATTCCACTGCTGATTTTCACCTTCCCATCATCACTGTCATATTTTTCAAGCGTTAGTGCCCTAGACAATGGTTTGGTTCGTACTCCAATCATGGGCTGGCTGAGTTGGGAGAGGTACAGATGCATGACTGACTGTGTTAATTATCCTGATGACTGCATCAGGTTTCTTTCCCATTTTTTGTATTTATTTCATTTTTTTTTTCAAATAATTTTTTATATGTTTAAAAAGGTGAAAAGAAATTGTATAAAGTAAATAAATGTTAAGCTATTTTTAAATTAATTATTAATTAGTTTTTTTTATTAATTAATTAGGTTTATTTGTTTGTTTTTCAGTGAAAAGTTATTTAAAAACACGGCAGATCAGATTGTGGATGGAGGCTATAAAGATGCTGGTTAGTTGAATAATTATACATTTACATGAGTGATGGGATGGTGTAATGGTTAAGGTGCCTGGCCCGGTTGCTGCAGTACCCAGTTTCAAAAGCAAACAGATCCCATTCTTAATTATCATAGGCTTTATGTGTGATTTTATGCATGGTATGGGTGTAATTCACTTTTAACCATTGTCATCAGGCTACGAGTACGTGATGATCGACGACTGCTGGCAGGCTCAGACAAGAGATGGCGCCAACAAACTTCAGCCAGATCCGGATAGATTCCCCAATGGAATTAAATATCTCGCTGATTATGTTGGCCTATTTTCATTTTCTAATTTCTTCGTCTTCTTGTTATGGGATTATGGCAGTGATGACGTAAGTACTCAAAAAATGTACTTAAGTATAAGTGCTAAGTACTCAGTAATAAAAGTACTTAAGTATGAGTGCTAAGTACCAGAACAAATTATACCTGATACTTATAAGTACTGAGTATAAGTACTAAGTACATAAGTACCTAAGTACATACCATGGTTAATTTGAAATATTTATAAATTTATTAAACTCAGAAATCAACTCATTATTTACAGTAATTTATTTACATCAATAAAGGAGTTTGTTCTTTTTGAGTAAAAGTAAAGTTTCAAATGATTCATCACTTAAACGATTTCTTTTAGGAGTGAGAATCATTCCAGCCTGGCTAAATATACGTTCCACAGGTGCTGATGATGGCACAGTGGTATTGTACTTCAAAAACACTTGTGCGACAGCAGGATACCTAAGGAACAATAATATAGTTGTTAACCGAAATAGCAAATTATTAATTTGTTATTAATACTTGAGAATAAAAATGTATTAGAAAATCAAGCATATACATATTATACATATATAATATATTACAGAAAAATATTGATTACCTTTTGAGTTGTTCCGTATCATATGAAGGATCACTAAGATATTGCAGTCCTTCAACTTTTTCATTCGATCGTGATTCGGAACTTGGTTCGTGGAATCCATAAAAATCTGCACTAGTACAACCTCTAGTATTTCTGTCTTCATAAACTGTTGAAGAATTGCTCATTCTGACCACTTCTGCTAGAAACAAGTCTTCAACTTGCTCACGAACTGATGATTCTATCCACCTGATTTTAAAAAACGGATGGCTGATCGAAGCCACAACAAATGCTCTCATCTTGCTGTTGCTTGAAATATCTTTAAAGTCAATTATATCGCCAAAGCGTTTATCCATGCCACATTGAAGAGCAGAAACAAGAGCTGAAGTGTACGATGGAGTAAAAGATTGCAGTTTTTGCTGTATAACAAATATAGTTGGTAAGACAGCACCAAAATAAGACTCCATTGAAACCTCACCTTGGAGCTTGTCCAATGCTAGTGAAATTGGTCTCATCAGTTCCAACCACTCATTAAGAAAACTCAAATCTATATTGCTGAACTTCGGCAGCTGCAAACGTTCCATCACAACATTTACTTTATCGCGAAGACTATATATAATGCTATAACAGTCAAATTCAAAATTCCAGCGTGTCCCATTCGGTTTGGGTATTGTTCTGCCTAAGATTTCATGCACAATTTCAGCAGCTTTTGAACTCTGGTGTGATGCGGTGCTGAGAGAGACACACTTACTGGATACTGATCTATATATTCTTTTGTAGTTTGAATCATTATTCAAAGCTTTACTTGCATCAGTTGTAGCAAGCAAGTTTAGAGTGTGTGAAAAGTAAGGTACATGAGAAGGAAGATAAATTCCGGAGCTGTCATCTATATTACTTTCCAAAAACTTATCACCAATCTCAACTGGAGTCATTTCTGTATCATCATCATCATCAACATCTATTTGCGAATCATCAGAAATACCTGCCTCTGCAAATTCCTTGAATGCTTTCACGAAATTGCTACCATTGTCTGTCACGACATTTACTATTTTCGATGAATCCAGATCAAACTCGCTGTGAATGTTCACCAACATGGCTGCAATTTTGTCATACGAATGAATTCCACGGAACCTACGGAAGGCAAGTGTAACGCCATTGCGCTTAAAATCATCTGGATTTATCCAATGGCAAGTTACTCCAATATAACTTCGAGCATGTTGCGTCCAAATGTCAGCAGTCGTGCAAACAAATTGAAAATTTTTTAGAGTCTCTTTAATAGTCTTCTTCATATCAGTAATCTTTGTGGCCAGAATACCTTTTAATGTCTCGGTACACATAACTCGGGCTTTTGAGTTCAGACCCTGT